AGTTTTGAGCTGATCTTTGTAAAATTATAGTAAATTCTATAGGTGTCGACAAATAGTGAAACAAAATTTGTTAGGTTCACAAAAATGCTATGTATCTGTTGGTGCAGATAGTTTACAGTTGGCTGTGATAATGATAGATTCATAAATTTAATTTAGAAAGCTTAGTATTATTTAGCTCAATATTTGTAGGAATTTTTGTGGCAAATCGGTGATAGCTTTAGCCATGAAATTTTTACAGTAAGTTCATTAGATTATTATGTGCTCACTATAATTTTTGTATCCCTTGAGTAGACTAACATATAGGGTAGCTAATACTCCTTGTTTTAGTATATATATAGTAAATCGGTATTAAGAGTAAGAATACCTTTAGTTACTAAGATAGTACATGTCATATTTCATACCTATTAGTGGTGGCAATAGGTAACTTAGCACCTTAGTCGGTAGAACTAGCTTAGTAGCTTGATAGGCGTATTTGTATTTTAAGAGTTGTTGTTGCCGTATTACTAAGTGTTGCATCATCATTTTATGCATTTAGATAACGAGTTGGTAGAGTTCGTGCCTGCGGACGAACAGGACTATGAGGAGATCATTGAGGAGTACGAGGAAGAGATTCTCTTACAGGAGGGAGCCCTGAAGCCGTTCGTTGCTTACTTTGTTGACACCCCGCCTGCCCAAGGCAAGTCCCGGTGCATAACCCCTATTTTTTAATGATCATTGAATATATATATGATGTGCATTTACGTTATAGGCATTTCATAGTAGCTGCTATGCTTAGGGTATCGGTAGCGTGAGTAACCTGCCGTTACTCACAATAGGTGAAAATTGTGATCACTCATGCTAAAATGGTGGAAAGGAAAATGGAGACCGAGCAGGGATATGGTTGGGTATTGGTGGGTGTAAGAGGTTGTGTCCTGTGGCCAACAGGGCATAGCTTGGATACACTTTTTCCCTATCTGTGTCGGTTAAGGACCAGTCATTACATTGGGTTCTAGGCAAGTCACAGACTTATTATCCCGAGCACATACTTGGGTATGGGCATAGGCAAGACTTGTTGCTCTCTTGTCATGGGTTCTGGCTCTTTTCGGACCAACTGATTGGAGGCGGGGATGGTGGAGGTCTAAGCACCACACTGAGTCCGGGACTCAGGAGCGGGGGCTTGGAGTCTAAGTTTGGACGGGGACCTGGACCCCATAACAGGAGAGTGATGGGTTGGTCCTGCTTGTGCCTGGGGTACAAGCGGGGCGTGTGTTTTTAGGGTACCCAGCTTGGCACATTGATTAGCGAATCACCGGGCAATCCGGTACGGCTTGTCTACAGTCTAGCACCGTAGTAAGAACTGAAGATGAAAGGTGATGAAATGGAACTGATTGCTCAAACCTTTCTTGAAAATAGAACAGGTGCTTACATAGAATGGCTAGATAATAAATTAATCATGACTGCTAATAAGAACATAAATAAGGTCTCGCTATTAGAATTGCTTTCTACAAAAAGAAACCCAGTAAACCATAAAGCTTATCATATCCCTTGGAGTCGAGAAATTATTCCCACTTGTCGGATAAGTCTTGCGAGTACATTGTGTACTCAGGGTTTATTTACCCCTGTTGCAGGTACTGCTTGAGGAGTAGCCGTTGTGTGAAGGATTCTTCTGGTGGGCACAGACGGATCCTTGCTTATTATCGATTGATGTTTAATTGATGTTTATTTTCATTCCGTTGTTTAATATTCCGCACTCTGAAGTTGGTAATGTAATAATATAATTTTTAAGAACTCTTGATATATGAAATGGACTAAGTATTATAACTCGTTCTCATTATTGGATCCTTGGGAAAAAATGTGGACTATTCGGGCTTTCCCTTGGGGTGTGCCCGATGGAACCCGCTCGGCGTAGCTTGCTTTCGGGGTGCTTAGTGTCTGGTGGAGGACGAGCGCCTCCTAAAGGTGTGTTATTTTGGGCGGTTCTGCCACAGAGGTGAGCGAGCACCGCTGGATCCGCTGCTCTGAGAGTGAGAGGTGAGAGAACTAGAGGAGAGAGAAACGTGGGATTTCAAATGAATTTGAAAACATGCGTTGGTTGCGTAATATCTGGGCGTGCGAAGTTGACTGCGCCCATCCATCGATGACAACGTCGGGCCCACGTGCGGGACACTGGCTTAGGTCGGTGGGAAGCTGGCTAGGTGTAACCAGGCGGATACAGATTTGTCTGGGGTTTCCACTAAACTATTGTAAGCCCAGAGCTCTCAATATTATACCTATATATATATATTCTTTCTAGTCACATAAAATAATAAAGAGCTACTTAGTATTATTCTAATAGTAATGCTAAGTAGTACCAACAAGCATCTCTGGCATCATCTCTAGGGATGACAACCTGGTAAAGTAATGTTAAGAGATGTAGACATACATTAGGTGGCTACTAAAACAAGTGACAAGTTAATAAATACCAACAAGCATTTCTGGCGCCGTTGCCGGTGATAGACTTAAAACCTCCACACTTGGTGATTGCGCTAAGAAATGCCAACAGATACCCTAAATACTTCCGGGTGAAAGTTACAACGGTAATTTCGTATGCTTGCGGATTAACTTCTATCGATGTTAACAAATACCAACATTGCCTATAGCCGATGGTCCTTTTAAAGTGTTAGAAAGGATTAATGATAATGTGTATAAACTTGAGCTACATGCAGATTATGGAGTTAGCCCCACATTTAGTATTGCAGATTTGATGCCATATTTTGGAAAAGAGGATGAGCTTGAGTCGAGGATGACTCAAATTCAAGAAGGAGAGGATGATGGGGACATCTCTTCCATTGATACAACCACACCTATTGCACAACAAGGTCCAATGACAAGAGCTCGAGCACGACAATTTAATTATCAGGTAAAGTCATTCCTCGCTGTTCATACAAACTCGTCTCAAAATTGGATGCTACTAAATCATGGTGATGATTGTCTTATTCTTAAGAATGTTAGTCAAGACCCATTAGATTATGTTCAGACCCTATGATGAGGATGGAGCAATCGAACAAGTGGGAATCATCATTAATGAGGCGCTCAACTCATATCAAGACAGCAGGAAACACTCCATCAAAAATACCATAACTCCTTGATACGAGTTTCAATGAAGCTGGTTTTTGACTTGTTGGAAAGAGCTCGTCGCCCTCTTTCAGATGGGTCCAACCCCACTATTAGACTCCACCGAAGTTGTGCGCAGCAAGCAAAAGGATGCACAGACCTACAGCTTGGGCCTAGGCCTTGTATTGACTAGAACCCATTAAGGGACGTCCAGATTAGGGTTTCTCACGCCCTCTTGTGCTCTCCTCCCTATAAATAGAACTAGCAGCCACCAGAATAAGGTTGGGTTTTGTTTTGTTGTAAGTCTAGCTTTTGCTACTTTCTGGTGAGCGTGTGTGTCGATTAGACCACCCGTTTGCTTGATTCAAGACCCCAACTCGTGATTCAGATTCGCCTTTGTATCTTCCATCCGTGAGTTATTTGCTTGTTCATCTTGTTCTTGCTTGTTCTCGGTGGCTAGCAGGTTCAGAGGTGTTCTTGGCACGGCAAGAACATCCCAATCGGAGATGGTATACCTGTTGCTAAGGCACAACCCTTATGGTGTTGTAGTCGGACAGCCAACGTCGGATCCACCCCAAATAGAAGTTATCCTCAACTCTCATGAAGATCAGGAACAAACCTTAGCGGTTCCTATCAGAAGAAATATCTTCAACTCGAATGATGAATCGAAATGTGGTGAACCATGTTTGGGGTTAGGGTTTGAGGTTACAAAGGAGATTTATAGCTAGCGGATTTAGCGGGATAGCCATGAGAGGCTGGCAGACAAGTAATAGTGACAGAGTGTATGTTAGACAAGGAGGCGACAATGGGAGGGCGTTGTTTGGGGAGGGTTGGTGGCGCGGGGGGGGGGCGGCTAAAGTCTCATAGATGACATTGAAGAGGATGCTTAGTGGCATGGTTAGCCGCGATCAAGACTGGTGGATCTAGCGGTGATGGTAGAATGTTGCTAGATAGATCAAGAGGAACCGTGGACCATCAGTTAGCTCAAGTTCAGAGGCTAGAAATGGAGAAATAAGGCATATTATCTTAGTTAGCGGTGACTGTGAATGCCATGGATCTAACGGCGACAATGCCACTAGACCATGCAAGGACAAATTTATAGAAGAAGAGTCTAGATCCGATCAAGGGAGGAGGAAAGGAGGGGGGATTGAGAGGGTTGTCCTCACCGACGTCACATGGGACATGACAAAATAGAGGCCAGTGACAAAGTGAGGGTGTATCGAGAAAGATGGAAAGAGTGAGTTAAAAAGTCAAAGAGACCAGAGAACGGACTAAGGAGACGATAACGATTTGCTTTTTCTATTGGAAGGGGTTGATGTGTATGGTGCCCACCTTAACCTTATATCCTTATGTAGAGAGGGCTCTTGCCTCATTTTCTCACATTTATTAAAAGATTACGGTTCTCTCAAAGTTCCTTGTTTTTAAATTAGTTACTGCATTACACCTATTTTTTTTTTTTTGAAACAGCGTTACACATGAAACTAGATGGCTGGACTTGTGGAGTATGCGAATGGCTGCCTTGGCACGCTGGGCTTTTGGAAGGCCATCAATTCTTTGCACTGGCTCTGGTGCCCCGCGCCCACCAAACAAGAAGGTGGATTGTAAGAGAGAGACAGGAAGGCAGCGAGCGAGGGATTTGAGCTGGGCACGCGGCGCGAAGGCCGAGGGGTCATGCCCAACGGCCTTCTCAGTCAGCCCATCTCGTGCCCACCTCCCCTTCCCATTTCTTCCCTTTTCTGACCCACGACCCACCCCTCTTCATCCCTCGGACTACAAATGCGGCGCAACCGTGGGCGCAGCAGCAGCCGGGGAGTGTGTAGCAGGATGCTCTCGCTCTCGCCATCGCATCGCGCATAGTAGACACTCGAATCCGATTGCCGAGTTGGAGAAGGAGGAGACCCGTTGCAACGGTTAGTTGCGGCGGCCCGATGGACCCGTCGAACCATGGCGGCGCCACAGCCGGTGGAAGCGCCGACGGCCATGGCCAAATGTGGGTGAGGGGGCCCCGAGTCGTATCCGTTGATCCGCGTATTTGGGGACTGGTCTCCGCTCGCGTTTTTGTTGCTGCTCCGTGTTTCGGGGGACTTGGAGTGGGATTGGGGGGAGGTTTTGGTTTGGGACCAATGCGCCGCCGTCGTCGGATGATATGAGACCTCGCTCGGCCGTGCCGGCGAGCTGAGATCCGCGCCGCCGACGGGGGATTCCGGTGGCTGTTGGTTCACGTCGGCGATCTAACAGTAGAGAAATCCTACCGAGGCAGCGATCTGGTGTGCCGGTGTTGGCGGATTGAGATGATCCATCCGCCGGTCCTTGGTCCTGGGTCCTGGGTGCTGGTTCCATGTTGAATCGGATTCGATCCGCTGGTTCGGATGGTCCTTTGCGATGATGCGCGCTATGGGCTGCCTATTTGTTTGTATCCAAATCGGAGATTAGGCTGACACCGCCGCTATAGCTTGGTTGGGGAGGATATTGGACTGGCTGGGGCTGGAATGGGCCTGTGTATGCTGTTCGTTGTAGTGCCTGACCGCTGGTAATAAAGTTTTTGTGTTGCTAGCCCTTAATTCTTTGTTTCAGTGGATAATTGACCTTACATGTCCAACTAAAATTAAAATCTGATGAAAATCTGTCTACTACCTACAAGAGTAGCTTCATGACCCGTCTTAGGTTTACCTGATTCAACTTGTACCCTGGCTCAGTTGAGCCAAAGCTTGGATGGGGGAGGATATGGGTTCACAGGGGCTGGAATGGGGCGTGTGTATCCTCTTCGTTATAATGCCTGATTGGCAGGAATTAATTTAGTGTATAGCTTGTATGTGCTTCAGGGCCTTTGATTGTTCGTACATAACGAAGTAGAATCAGATGAAAATCTGCGTACAACCTACAAAAGTAGCTCATGAATCATGGCTTGTCTTAAGTGGGTGTGATTGAACTTATACCTCTTTCCTGAACTGAATGCTTGTAAATTGACTTGCTATTCTGGTGCACTACTTTTTTTTTTTGGCAATTTATTATAGTTATAACGCTTGTAGCACTTTCCTGAACTCTTGTAACGCTTTCCGCAGTCTCTGGGATTGGACAGCAGAGCATTGTGAACCTAACGGTTCAAGTTATGGTACTTTCATTCACATCCATAACCTCCATCTATGTCACAAACAATCTTTAAAGTACCTGTTTGGACTTGCTTTCTCATTATGTCTCTTTTTTTTTTTACAGCAGATGCTACCAAATTCATGTGGGATTGCCTCAATCAAGATGACGATGAGCTGTTGGGATTGCTTGGAAATCAAACCCCATTGAGAGACTGCCGTGATTTCTTCGCTGACCTTGGTGGTACAAAGCTTTTTGTTTGGCCAATTACCATTGCTACCACTCTTGAATGCATAGCTTAAAACGTCCGTTACTTGTGTAGATATCACATGCAAGGAGACCTTGGACCTGGAGGAATCTCGGGATTCAAAGCGGCGGCGCACATTGGAGTACCCTTCAGAGTCTAGTCAGTCAGAACTTGGGACTCATGATACCGGTTCACCTTTCGTTACACCTGAGGTTGTTCACCAGCTCCTAGCTATGTTTCAAATCCCTCTTCTGCTAATCTTTGCATATCATAGTTATGCATGTTCTGTTTTCCATGTTTCAGGTTGCAGAAATTTCATTGCTCTGCACTGATAAACCACAGAGCTTAAATTGTGATATGCACCACACTTCAAATAATTTAGGTTTGTATTTTTCATTATATATGCTTAAATAGTGCCTCTACTTTTTGCTAATTGAAAATTTTACATCAGATACAATAAATTCCTTGTCAGATGAAGCACCCTACCAGCAAGAAGATAATCTTTTGGAACATTGCTCTTATGGAAATCCTGTGTACCTCGAGCCTGACCAAACGTTTGTCCCTCTCTGGTTCCACTGAAACCACTTTATTTGGCTCATTTATATGTTAGCTGTGGTAAATTCATCTCCTACTTGCTGTAGGCCTTGTAGCCAGGAGAGCATTGCATGTATAAATGATCAAGCTGGTATTTCAGGTCAGTGCAAATCGCTTTTTCTATTCCATTTCATAGTCATTTTTTCATTTAATTTTGCAACTCAGCTTCCAACATTTCCATTAATATTTGTTCTTAAGCTCTCACCAGATATCTGAGAAGAGCATTTTAGTTTCCTATTTTCCTTCACAGTTGTGGTCTATTTGCAGTTGCCGCAATGTACTATTATAACCAGCAACCATGATGTTTAAGTGCCTTCCTAGCACCAGGGTTTTGTATTGGGGTCAACAACTTACCTATTATTTCTATATACCTACAGGAACAAGTGAGATTGCACCAATGACAGAAAGTTTCATAATGCAGGAAACTAGGAAGCTTTCTACACTCAAAGTCTCCAAAGGTATTTCATGTTGACAGTATATTATTACTTGGAACACACTTGAACTTCCAGTTTCATCGGTGCTAATCATGTGGCCTCTTTTGCCTTACTACTAGGACCAAGCTCATCACTAGTTAAGGTGAAGGAAAACTTAACTACCTCAGTAGCATATCCTTTTACTCTCATCAAACCATCTTGGGAGGAAGGTGATGTTACCTTACAGGATATAAATCAGCGTATCCATGCTCCTCCTAAGAAGGCCCCGGAGAGCCTTGGAACTTCAGCGTTCTCTGGCAAGCCAGTGATTGGCAAGACAAGAATCAGAACAGAAGGGGGGAAAGGAAGCATCACAATACTAAGAACAAAGGGCTGAGAATTGATCCTTATTTATCTGCCAGTCTCTCCATTTATCAGAAGAGAAAGGGGAGAAGGCAGCTCCTTCGTGGTCAATTGTGCAGGCACGTGAGGCTGCCATTGATTCACAGTTCAAGGAACAGAGGGCTTAGAACCTGAGGATGCCATTGATTCTTATTTATCTGCCACTCTCGATTGCATTTGGCACTTTGGTCAATGTGCAGGCCTCTGTAGCTTTCCAGCTGTTACTTTTTTCTTTCAATTTTGTACCGTGGCTTTGTCTTGTGAATTACTGTAGATGCAAAAGCAAAACTCCTTCAGATGTTCAGCATTCTTATGGTGTATTTATAACATGTGGTCAATCATATATACAAAAAACTGAAGTTAAAGGAATTAGTGTGTTAAATTCCATTTACTTCTTGAGGCTGTTCAATCCTTGCGTGCCCTTAATGAGAAAATTTCTTATATCACACTAGCAAACTCACTTAATGAGAAAATTTGATGCTAGCTTTGAATTCCATGCCTTAGCTAGCACTTCCGCTACTTCTGCCTATAGATGTCCAAATGGGCTGAACCTAAAAGGAGGCATGAGATGGCCTGCTAAGGCTTGGCCCAAGCACGGCATGGCCCGCTTACCATTGTGCCCATGCCGGCTCGGCCCATAGACTAGTGTCGTGCTTGGGCTGCTGGCACGAGCATGGCATGTTTAATAGGCCTGCCCGTTAAGGGCCCGTTCTATAGCAAACGCTAACAATAACAATGCCCTTATCCTTTCTCGACTTAGCTGCCTCTTCCTATTCTTCGGTCTCCCAAGTGTCGAGCTTTCTCCTCCTCTCCTTTGGCCCTCCCAGTCTCGTCGGGACTCCCTCGTTGGCGGTGACCTTGGTCCCTCGGCTACTGTGGACCTGCTCCCTGAGACGAGTAGGGGATGCACTGGCGCAGCCACGTCATCGAGGCTTGCTCCCTCGGTTGTCGTGACCCAGCTACTGTGCTAGGGGATGCGCTGTGTAGCCGCTCGGATAAGTGGCGACGGCGAGGAGAGCATTGTTGTGAACTTTGTGATTGACTATGGACATGAAGTGGATCTCTCCCTCTCCCTCCCTCTCTGATTTGTGTAGTGTCCTTGTTGTGAACTTTGTGATTGACTATGGACATGAAGTGGATCTGTGATTTTTGTTGTTTTTTTTCCAATTTTTTTTTCTGTGACATGGTTCTTGCAGGATGTGAAGGGCTCTCATGTTAACAGTGAAGGGGCCGTGACGCCTAAGAGGGGGGGTTGAATTAGACAACTTAAAAATCTACTTCTAAACTATGGCCTCTTTTTTCTAACCCTAGCAAAACCTATGCAAAAGATAAACTATATAAATGTGCAACTACGGTTTTGCTAGTATGTTGCTATCTCTACCGCAAAAGGAGTAATACAATCAATGTAAATGTGGAAGCTAAAGAGTAAGGTAGAGATATGCAAACTCCCGTCGACGACTCCGGTATTTTTACCGAGGTATCAAGAAGCGCGCAAGCTTCCCCCTAGTCCTCGTTGGAGCCCCTCGCAAGGAATCACTTGCAAGGGCCAAGCTCTCGGTCAGGTAACTCCGTGGATAGCCTCGAGCCTTCCCCACACGCAAGTGGGTCTCCGACGTGCCTTCCGGCAAGCCTCTCCCGGATGCTCCCCGCCGTCTTCACTATCAAGCTTCCAGCCGAAACGCCGCGGGCCTTGTTCCCTCCGGTACACGGTGGCGGCCACACCACAAACGCGGTTGGTGTGATCTCGCAAGACTACAAACCCCTCTGATGTACAACAATGGTGCGTGCAAGCACCGAGTGGTAAGAGATATGCAAACCTCACTAAACACTAGGCCTAAACCTAGAGCAAGCGCATAAGCGGTGGTCTAATAAACCTAAGCAGTTCATAAAGCACCTACGCTAATCACCTAATGAATCACTAAGCACTATACAAGTGGAGATCACTAAAATGGTATATCAACACCCTTGATATGTTTCCTCAGCTCCACCACATCCAAATGCCCGGTTGGGGGTTGTATTTATAAGCCCCACTGAGAAAGTAGCCATTGGGGATGAAATCTCGCTTTTCTGCTACTGACCGGATGCTGGAGTCGTCCTGATCGGACGCGTCCGGTCGTTCCGACCGTTGGAGCCACGAACAGCTGATTAGACGCTGCCAGCGTCCGGTCACTTGCCACCGGATGCATCCAGTCGCAAGTTTGAGGCTTTGGAACCTCTTTGTATTCGATTGGACGCTGCTGTCCTACGTCCGGTCGGTTTGTCGCCAGCGTCCGGTCCAGCGTCCGGTCGCTGCTGCTGTTGCCGAGCCTCTGATCGGAGCGTCCGGTCGCTTTTCGTCAGCGTCCGGTCCAGCGTCTAGTCGTTGCAGTGAGCTCGTTTTTTCGCGATCTTGCGTGCGGCTTGGTTCCTATCTTCATGCTTGGAGTTTGCTTGATATCTTGGGTCTTCTCTTGTGCTCATAAGGTCTTGCTTGAGGTGTTGATCATTGGATCATCACGTCGCCTTTGTCCAAGTCACGTCTTGCATCCTATTGATCTACAAAACAATCACTTGCAAATTCATTAGTCCAATTTGGTTGTGTTGGTCATTAAGCACCAAAATCCAAAGTAAATAGGCCTATGGTCCATTTTTTTACAATCTCCCCCTTCTTGGTGATTGATGACAACACGACCAAAGCAAGCAAATAATAAAATTTTGAAATTTAAAAACTACCTACTTGCTGCTAGGATGCAATGCAAGGGGGCAAGATTATATGATGCTAAAAAATATTACTTGTAAGACTATATAAAAACTTATGTTGCCTTTGCAAATGTCCCCATGTGGTATTATGGATTTAAGCCTTGCTTCCTACAAATTCTTCCTATTCTATAATCCACTATCCTCCCTTTCTCAGACCATTATTACAAATTAATGCTTGCATTTGGTCCTCTAAATTCTCCCCCTTTGGAATCAAACACAAAAAAAAGACATTAGTAGCACAAGGGAGGGTCAAACCTTGTGATCTTTTGAGGGTAGAGTGAAATAGATCACAAAATTTGACTCTCACATTATATAGACTAAGCTCCCCCTAAATATATGCATACATATGGTAGAAGACAAAGCATATGCATAATTGACAAATTTTTGCTCAAGGGAATTTAATCTATATAATGCATGGAGAAAGCATATAATTATCAAAATGAAATCAACATGATGATATCGGTTTAGAAATACCATATGTGGAAACCAATTTGATTTCTACCACTTACAATAGGTGGTGGATATTTAAAATATGATGCTTAACTCTAGGGACTCCATTTTCCTTGGAATGAGACTACTACACACATGATAAGCTTGAAAAGGTGTTAGTCTCAAGGCATCCAACTTGTAGAGTAACCTCCCTCTAAATTTGTGCACACAAGTATGGAAAACTTGTAGAAAACATGCACATTGATTTTAGAATCAATAATACCACTTGAAATATGACATCACATGAATTTGAGAAATATTTTTGAAGATAATATTCGGGAGAAATTATCTATAATTTGGACTTTGGCACATATTAGATGAATAATCAAAATACAAGCTATATGCCGTGCTCCTAAACAAATTTAAACCATGTATGTTTGCTCCAAGGATTAAGAATGAAACCGAGCAAGCCTACCATAAGATATACCTAGTGTATGCATGACAAAAGATATAAGCATGCAAATGCAAACCTAGGCATGAAGGGTAACTAGATGATGAAAGATACTAATTGTAGGAAAATTTAAATCTAATACCAATTGAAGTAAATTGAATCTAGTTACCTAACATGGGAAGGGGAATTTGGGTCCATAGTATTCACTAACCCACTTGGTAATAACTTTGTCTATAATGATGCACCCCATGAAATGCATCCATACTTTGCCAAGTCTCCAAATTCCCTGTCGTCCATCGGACTTCTCACTTTCCTTTCGGGATACAAACCTTCTTGGTGCTCTTCATGTTGGAAATAATTTCCTTTGACACCCAAAAGCGTTTGACCCCATTATTGGCTTGCTTGTTCACCTTGATGGCCACCACCTTGTCATTTTTCTTCTTCTTTAAGAGATAAGGTGTGGAGGCCTTCTTGTCCACCTTGTTGGTGTAGGTGTTGGAGAGCTTGCTTGTTTGCTTTCTGTTTTTTCTCTTTCTTCTTTGCTCCTCCCCCATTCTTCACCTTGCATTCATAGGACTTGTGACCTTGAGTCAAGTCCTTGGTGAGACGAGCTACTTCTTGCTTGAGTTGCTCATTCTCCTTTGCAACCTCTTGTGTGTATGTATCTACAACAACTTTCTCAACACACACTTGGTTGCACGAGGGTGAGTCTAAACATAAATCATTGCAAGAAGTGGAGGCATCCTTTTTAGACATGTTGAAGATAGAATTTTTCTTTTTAGATGCCTTGGTGGGGGTTATACTAACGGCTTCAAGCTTAGCAACTTTGTTAGTTAGCTCATCACAATGTTTGCACATGGTTTCTATTTTAGCAAACAAACTTTTATAAGCATCTTGTGAGCTAGCTAACTTTTCTTTTAATTTTTTATTTTTCTTTACAAGTTGCTCATCATTGATTGTGCATGCATTTGTTGTTGCACTAGCCTTAAGTTGCTCTATTTTAGTAGATAGTTCAACATTGAGATTAGCAAAGTTCTCATATTGTTCAAGCAAAGTTTTGTATGCTTCTTATGAACTATTTAGCTTTTCTTCTAATTTTTCGAGCTTTTTTTGTTGACTAGTGCAAACTTTAGCAAAATTAAATTTTGTTGCATAATTTCATCATAAGAAGGCATTTTATCATCACTATCACTCTCACTAAAGGATGAGCTTTCATTACCTCGTGCCATAAGGCACACACGAGAAGAGCTTGATGATGAGTGCTTGCGGCCTCGCCTCTTGTGATGGTGTTCTTCTTCACTTGAAGGATCATCCCATGACCTTATTGATGTGAGGGCTTAGTTCTTGTATGCCTTCTTCTTTGTCTTGGGTGTGGA